ATTTCCAGTTTTGGCAGATCGCGAATTGCCATAGCTTATGTAGGAAGTGACTGTTGTCCCATTTATGTATTCACTACGAACTAATAAATCATAAAAATGAAGAATAATTTGACAAAAAATAATTAATCTTAACTATTGCAGTGCAATTTGATTACATGATGTGAGGTTCTCTAAACCATTTCAGTTACCATATTTTTCAGTATCATTGAAAATTAAACTTATAGCAGTGGTTCTCGAGTTGAGATTTTAAAAAAATTGCAAGATTTGAGTGCTGTCAGTATTTTATATAGCATTTTTGTAGTCCACATTTTTGCCTGAAGCTGCTTCTTGATGAAGTGATATTTTGTGTATATTTCCTAACAGTCATCTGTGACCTTTGCTGGTATTGAACATGATTGCATTTTACGTATTGCGTGTTATCTTCTTAAACTGAAAGAAACTGCCATGACCGTTGAATGCAGTCTCGTAAAGATTGATGGTATGGTTGATATTACAGTAATTATCTTGTCCATTTGACCACAAATAATTAATAAGGTAAATGGATTTTTCTTTAATGATTTCCTGTTGAAATATTATGAATATGAAGTCACAAAAATGTGTATATGTCTGATAATTAAGTGAGATATCAGAATTATTTATTTGAAATGCCTTTAATCACCCTCTCGCCTTTTTGTATCAAGAGAAATAATTTTTTTTATTTGGGACGGGGGGGGGGGGGGGGTTCGAAATAATAAACTCCAATTGTTACCAATCAATTAGAACCAGCACTTAAAGAAGATATATGTTTGATGTTGTCTCCAGCTGATTCGTGCTTACCACTAACTATTATTTACTCTCTCAAACTAAGCACTAGCACTATTTTAAAGATTTTGCAGAATTAATGATAGAAATAAGCTTAATGCCTGGATTAGCACTACCTTGGTCTATTGAGGTCTGAGATATCCGCTTTTAGAGTTAACGCACCGTGGCGGTATCACTGGTTTCTTGGAATGTGGCGGGTATCAGGGGCGGATCCAGAGATATTTTCTGACATTCTTCCATATTATATTTGTTGATCCATCCTCCATTTTTTGACCGTCTTCCGACAGAAAAAATTAGATACCCGTCAATGTAAACTTGAAAATCTGACCGTCTTCCGGAAGACCCAGAAGACGGCCTAAATCCGCCCCTGGGTATTGATCTAAACATTAAGTCTGGTCTGCTAGGATGAAAATGTCTTCTTGTGCAAATGTCAAACAAACTTTGAAGAAGAAACTCTGGGAATTGGGCTGGAAGAAGTAACACGTCCTTCTGGACCAAGTACAATTACTGGCTTGCTTCGGAATAAAAAAGGTGGAAAGGCTTTGTAAACATGAAGATATATTAATGTCTGTGTAGTGTGTCATTATCTGGAAATTAAATTATTTCTCAGAATTATCTTTGATTGTCCTATCTGTTGACACAAAGGAAAGCCATCCATCAGCAGGAAGAGCCCAACTGTCAAAATACTAAATTAACCTCACTTTGTTTTATCATTGGGGAGTGGATTCGAGGTAATCTATTCTAAGGGGTGAATTTAAGCCACTTTCCATGCCACAATTCCTACAGGTACAGAGGGGGATACATTTTCTGTGAGAAGTTCCTGTCAAATGCTGTAGGAAAAATTGTGCACCGTAAAGTTCTTGTTTTTCTGCTCCGCAGTTGTGCACGATAATTTTTGCAGGTACTTTTATATGTGAATGGAATGAAATAGTAATAATGCACAAATTGTAGGTGTTGGAGCAGTCCATTTTATTAAAGCAATTTGCTATTCTTTAATTTAGTCGATTAGCTTGTCAAAATGATTCACAGTATCAATTTTTCTTCGTGCCAAATAAAGTTAAATATAATCAAAATGTCTGCCTGTTTCTATTTCAGATAGGAAGAATCTTACCATTTACATTATCATCTTGATAGATTGGAAAAATTATTTGCACAGTTCAATAACAATTTGATTAAGGTGAAAATGGGGCGCATCTTGTGCAAAGTTTTAATGAAATAATAAGATAATGAGCATTGAAGCACTGTGGATATGGCCATAATTGATCTATTAACACCAAAACACATAATCATTAAGGATAGGAAGAAATGTCCGTATCGTGTGTCTCCTGGTGATTATTGTGTCGGTTTTCCTCTAATGGGTTATGTGGTATTTATGGTTACATATAAAAACTGGACTGGTGTGTGGAACAACCCATGAAGGCCTGTTCAGGCTGGATATTGGGCAAACTTTTTGTGTCAGACAACAGGATTTAAGGTGCAGTTTGGTGATCAGCAAAAACTACCTCATATTGCTGCCGGCGCTTTAAATTTAAACTAAACAGGTTGGGGTCTGATGAGGTGCGTTTGTCCCATTTTCAGTTCAAAATAGCTCCTTTCTTGACACACATCTAATATGATTCTCTCATCCTCTTAAGCCACCCAAAGTCTGCTGAAGTGAGAGTGTTGTAGTACAGCATTAGAACCCTGACAGCCAACAACCAAGTCTAAAGTTAATCCAGCTCCTTTGATTCTTGGCTTTAGTAAAAAGCTAGCGCCCTGCGTGTTGTATTTTTCACCTCTGCGCTGGGCGGGGAATCGGTTCTTATTGCTGCTGATGTCCCTGTAGACTTTCTTGCCAGCAGTCTTTAAATGCGAATTACTGGATATTTGTTACGTATATGTTTACAAGTAACCCACTCTTGGTATAGATTGCAGATGGAAGTCTTCGAGATTTATCCTGATAGTTGGGTGTTTTATAGTAATGCCCCCTGGATCCCCCCTCTCCCCCACCCCTTGTGGATGTTTTATTATTAGGATTTTTTAAAAAGTCCGCTTTCATCCCTGATAAATAATGTTCTTTTTCACAGGTAATTTAAAAATGACGCACATTTACCTCAGACAGTGCTTTTTATGCAATGTTTTTGCACACAGAGATCAAACATAATATAGCTGTATGGTTTTTTTTTGAAACAAATTAATAAAGGCAGCATATGAATGGAATGGTTATTGAATTAGTCGATACTGAAATAGAATTATTTTTATTGTGTGATTTCAGAAATTCAATTGTGATTTGTTTGATATGATAATCAAATTTTGCTGACATAAAATTTATCATTTTGTGATTGAAAATGAAAGCTGTACAACAACAACAGCAACCACAAAATAAATACGTAAAATAAATTTCAAACATTTGTGGAGAAACCCTGCCAGTCACTGCAGCTTGGGTTAAGGGTGGAGGAGATTTATGGCAAAGCACCTGTTAATCCTGCCATCCTCATAGGGTCAACCCAGCTGATTTTTACACAGGTGCTTTACCATGTGGTACCTTGAACCCAATCAGAAAGACTTGCTTCTCAGTGGATAAAGCTACTAGTAGTTCTATTGGGTTGAACTCCAAACACTTTGTGTTGAAACCCACTTGTACTCTAGGATGTGGTACATCTTGCCTAACTCTAGCACTTGAGGCAGACTAGAAGATCTCAGCGCTACCAGCTCCACAACGCTACAAGGTGGCCATGTTGTCTCCCTTCAGCTACATTGAGGTCAATTTTTATCTTGGAAAGTTACCTTGCTTTTCTGAAGAACTAATTAAGTAGAGCAATATTTAACATTGGTTCGATGATGGGTGATTAGATGTTTTCAAAATTATTTTCAAGCATTGAATATATCAGGAGAAGGGATTTTTTTCTCAGTTTCAGGTTTTTCCTAACCACCAAGGGGCCCATATTTCACCAGGCTAAAAAGCATGTTCCTTGCAGCTGTCTCTGTTGACTTCAAAGATTACGTGTTTTGAATGCCAGTGTGATTAATTTATTGATCTTGGATGTACTGCAATTATCACTAGATGAAAGGGACATTTTTCTTCATCTTATTCATTAATAAAATGTGACAAGAAAGCTATGCCATATATTAGTTGGCATTGCCACTGAAATTTGTCTCAGTGATTTCTGATGTTTTTTAATCTACAGGAAGTTTAGAATTGCACACATAATTTGAATGACTGTTATTTTAGTAATGTTACAAATATATTATCTTAATTTCCTGCATATGTATGACTATAAAGTGATCAGTGTTAATGGTTACATTGTCTATATCACATCACACCCAGTGCAGACAAAATGGCTGCCTCGTATTTCACCTCCTCTGTAGAGATGTAGAGATTGTATAGACTTTATGTACTTCCTTCATTGTTGGTAGTATCGCTGTTGTAAGTTGGAGAAATCTGTTGACGAGTCTGTTAGGACAAGGTCCAAAAGGTGTTGTCAGCTGCTGACCAGAAACATTGATGTCCTGGATGCCAGGGGGCTCTGAAATCCACTCCAAAACTCAACAGCATAGCAGATTAGCTCAGGACTTTGATTCTTTGATTAATAAATTAAACTGGTCAGCTGATTGAAAGTTTGGACTCCTTTCGGGGTTTAAATTGGACCTTGTCTGAATTGACCATATCATGAAATGTATCTTTTCATTGTGCTTTTGCATCAAAACTAGGCTTTGGTGAACAAATTTGGCAGAGATTGGTGGTGTTCTGCAGGCAACTGCTGTAAAGCATCCCATTGGGAAATCTATGTTTATTTGTGAATAAGGTCTTAAGAATAACAAAAAAAAAAAGATGTCTTTGGAAAACAATACCTTTTGAAAGCTCACTTTAGACCTCAAAACTTAATATGAAAAATTTAGAGAAAAAAAAAATGGGTGTAATTTCCTGCAGAAGACTTCTCAGATTGTCCACTCTATTTGATGTACTCTTTGGCAGCATTTATAACCAAAGTTAATCCCTTGACTAACAGATCCTTGGATCAAATATGGCTGACTCACTTGAAAGCTACTGCGTAATCCCTGCAGGGAATCTATACAGTGTCCATGAGGGGATCATGCAGCAAACTTTCAAGTGGGTCGCCCATATTAATTCCGCAGATCTGTTAGTCTGCGGGTCAACTTGTTCTGAATGTGCCATTTTGTTTTCTTGTCTATGCAAAGTCCTCACTGTCTTGTTTCAGTTATGGTGACATTACCCCAGAAACCATTATGGGAAAAATAGTGGGTGGTATTTGCTCCCTTAGCGGTGTGTTGGTGATCGCGCTTCCAGTCCCTGTCATAGTGTCAAATTTTAGCCGCATTTATCATCAAAGTCAAAGAACCGACAAACGCAAAGCGCAGAAGGTACGTAAGCTAGCTAAAGGCAGAGGGCCACACAGACACCGATGTCGGTGCATCGGGCTCTCAACACGCCACCACATAATACAACAACACATGCATGCATCAGCTTTTCTGTTCATGTTGTTTTTCACTATTACGTGTCTCTCTCTTTCTCTCTCCCCACTCCATACATTCCCAGTGTTAGTTACCTGTCCCCTGCACTGCCTGGTTCGTATCTTTCCTGACCTTCCTAGTCAGTGTTCACCGTCGGTGTCCTGGGCTGTGCTATATATGTATCTTCCTCTGTGCTGACTGCCATCTTGGCTGAAGCATTATGGGATGCATGTTATGCGCCAGGTTTGGGATATCCTGTGTGTCGTAGGACCATCGTTGGTTGTATTTAGAGCTTCTGACTCTACTAATATTAATGATTTTTTGCACCAATTTTTTTTTGCAGTTATGGAGATATCGTCCCCAATACAATAACAGGGAAATGCGTGGGTGGTATTTGCTCACTGAGCGGTGTGTTGGTGATCGCGCTTCCAGTGCCTGTCATTGTGTCAAATTTCAGCCGTATTTATCACCAAAATCAAAGAGCAGACAAACGAAAGTCTCAAAAGGTATGATTCATGTCTCTCAATGAACGTTCCTTTGAAAGCAAGTTTGCTATCAGCATTTTGGCTTACAAACGGCTGCTCAAAAATCCATGCAGACTTCTTGTAATGTGGATTGAAAATATTACATTAAAAGCAATCGAGGATTCCACAAGGATTAACACAGATATGTCTGTGCATTCAGACACCATGCTTTTGTTGCCCACTGCTGTTACATGAACAAATAGTTATCGAAGACACATACATGCACATGCAGAGTTGCCACCTAATTGTACACGCACATGCTGAGTTGCCATCCAACTTCGCATATTCTACATGTTATTTAGGACAGTTTTCCATTGTTTAACGGACTGATGCAATTCTATTGTTAATAGATCTTTGCATTTTGAGCACATTCATGTTGCCAAATCAACATTTGCATGTGAATGTGCTCAGACACGCACACACGTACATGCACGTGCACACACATTACATTAAACATGAGCTAGAAGACCTATACAACTATACATAATGCATGATTGAATTATGTATGACAAATAGTGCGGAGCATAAAATATGCAGGTTTATAATAAATCACTCCTTTCTCAGGAACATTAAAACTTCATTATCTATTCATAAAAGCCTTCAAATACTCCCTCATTTTGGAAGCTGTGTATTGTTGTATCAGCGTTCAACTTAAAAAAGATGTGAAGTGGTCAATTATAAAGAAGAATCAAATTACATACAAATGAGAAACTCAGATATATAAATCATTCAGTTACCACTACAAATAACACAGATAAAATGAAGGTGACATATCAGAAGTGTAAATTTTCATCTAAAATTAGTTCAGAGTCATAAACTACTCCTTTATTGCATTGAAGGCTGGCAGTTCCTATCTGTGTGTTAGAGAAAGGATACAAAATCAATAGTGCCATGATCAGCTGTCCTCATTTACTCCCTGATATAGCAGTGGGGAGTAATGTCTGGGTAGTTCTTCATAGGTTTGAAGTATGAAATTAGGGACAGCAATTAACAGGGATTAAGAAACAAACAGAGAACTTCATTGGGGATGTCATCTTTGTGGACCCAAGCTTCCTTATCATGTATTGGCTTGGGGAATGACTTTAACATTGTTACACATAAACCTAAAAAAAAAAGAGAAAATCTATACTTTACTAAACCTTTACTTGGAACACAAGTACGTCTGGTTAAGAACAGACACAGAAATCAAACCAGCAGAAATAACCTAGATTCTGGACAAAGTGAGAGATATTGCAAGTGAACAGTCTGGCACTACCTGAAGATTTCACACCAATAGATGGAGACACCTGTTAACCCTGTGGCCCAAAATTTCAAGAGGTAGAGGTTGGGGGACGAGTCATTTTGGATTTTTTTATCATGAAATCCGTGTGGGCCTTAGTGCTTGCATAGCATCCTGATCCAATTTTGACTCAGAGCAGTTCTTTTCTGGTCACAAGAGTGGTTTGTGTGTACCCACCCCCCCACCCACCCCCCGCCCTTACCCCCTTCTCCACCCACCTGCCATTTCTAACAACTGCATGAGGGCTGAAAAAAGTTCACATGAACCAACAGTTCAAGGAATGCTTTCAGGATTACCAGTCTAACTGTATACAAAATGTTTATGTCTGTTGTTTATTACTGTACATGTAGAGTCCATATGGAATAATGTTACCTGTCTAAATTAGTCATGGCATATACTGAAGAATTAAGATGTAATGTGTTGCCAGGAGTTGGTTTAAAGGCTGGCAGTCAAGTATACCCTTTTCCCTCTAACATGTACGCAGGCACACACACACACACTGTCATGCAAAGACTCACCTCATATTCACAAACACCACACACACACGGATACATACACATACACACATACACACACACACACACACATATGCACACGCATCACTCATGGACATGTGTACGCTCACACTCATGGACACGCACATACACATTTACAGACACGCATCATACAAAGGCGTATCAGCTCACACCACATGTACACCCACACACTCATGGACACGCGCACACACATGTACCTGCACATACACACACACACACATACACACACACACACACACAGAGTAAATGTACATGCTAACTAAACACCATAGCCAGCAGCTGAAGTCTCTAATCATCAAGTCTGTGTCCAGCAATCAATACAGTGAACTGATGTGGATAATGACGTCCAGAATGACCTGTGGGACTTTGGCTGTAAACAGCTTACATCTCTTCCCTTTAAATAACTTCGAATACTTTTAGTCAGTTTGTTTAAATGTTGATTTGATTTTGAGGTTATTTTTTTCTCCAATAAGTTTAGACTGTATATTTGAAGTTTTGACTATTCACATCCCTTGAATGTCTTACAGACAGGTAAAATTCTCCAGGGGTAGATTTTCCAGTCACTTGTCACTCGTAATTTTCAGCTTTTTATATCAGTGACATTGGTGGTCCATGAATGTACCCCCCCCCCATTTTCTTTTGAAGAGAAGATGGCCAGTTTTTCAAAGTGACTTCAGTTTTTTTCCTTTTTGTCTCTTCATTATCCCCACCCATTCATATTTTCATTTAAGCCCACCCCCCAAAACCATTTCTACACACAGTTTTAAAAGTTGACAGTTTCAGAATGGAATTTGAACATTGTCAATCTTTTGAGTGCTCCTCCCCCCCCCCCCATAGTACATATGACCACAGTATTAGTTCTAACATAGGTTTGTTGGACAATATTGTTTTTTTATTCATTTCCTCAACAAAACAAAAACAAATGCACCCAGTCATGCTTTCACACACATTCTGAAATCACCTGTGTGGTTTTTATTACATTTCTAACAAAATTGCAACATTTTCATTTGCCTTTTTGACTAACTAAACACATTTTGCACTATTTGTTCTTTGTGTAAATTGCCATTACCTTTGCACAATTCAATAAGGATTTTTTTTTTACACACTGATTGTAAACTAACATGGATGATGATTTCATTAGTATAATTTTTTAGTTTTTAATTTTTAGACAGATTTTTGGAAGATTAATGAAGAACATCATTTTATGGCAGTAGCATGGTTTATGCTTGAGATTTGCGTTATTGACATGATCGTATATTATTAAAAGTTGGCATAATTTCATATTCAGCAGGCTGAACTAGAAGCATTTCTGAACACGCCTGAGTTTCAGCTGGTTCAGGTAGCCAGGGTGCATTTCAAACAAAATTAGTTTCATTTCATTTTTTCCCCCCCAAAAAAGTGGAAAAAGGCTAAAGTGTTTTTATGCCATTGAAAATTTGTTTGTGTGGTTTTGAGCTTCTTTCAAAAAATCTTTGCATATTGTGCATTTTTTACTGTTTTTGTACCCTTTTTAACGGGTCTTGCGGTGCTTATTATGTTATAAGTGAATACTTAAATAATAAGAAGAAAATGCTAAAATTCTTAGCTTTTAAGAATAGCATCAGCATTTTAACATTTTTTTTTTAAATTTCAAATGCATAGTTTTTCAAATATTTTCTTTTTCTGAGTGTTTTTAAAACTTGCTTATGGATTTTTTTTTTGAAAATTTTTGAATTTGCAGCTGAGATTTGATTTTAATTAAACTAATTTTGAGAGTTGGGATATGATTTTAATTGAAATACATTTTTATATAAATAAAAATAAACAGCTTTAAATGAATTCCATTAATTTTACTGACTTATGCGTGTTACAGAAAGCCCGGCTAGCAAGGATAAGAATGGCCAAAAACGCAAGTGGTGCGGCTTTTGTGGCGCGAAAGAAAAAGGAAGAAGAGCGAATACGGCTGCAAGAATTAGGTCAGGAGCCTGAAGATAAAGATGACGCAGACGTATTTGAGCTTCAGCACCATCATTTGCTGAGTTGCTTGGAAAAAACCACAGTAAGGCTGATTTTACTGGAGTTTGATTTAGAAGCACTGGAGACATTTTAACGTTGGTTTTGAATGATGTCCATGTCTGGTTACTTACTTGTTTCCAGGTAATCCAATCAATTATTGATGAATTAAAATGTTTCTGTTAGTAGGACTGGGCCACAAGCTGTTAACTGTTCTTATTCAAGGATAAGTTAGACGTTCAGCATAGTTAAGAACCAATAATACACGCAAGCCATGGGCGGATTGAGACCGTCTTCTGGGCCTTCCGGAAGACGGTCAGATTTTCAAGTTTACATTGACGGGTATCTAATCTTTTCTGTCTGAAGACAGTCAAAAATTGAGGATTGATCAACAAAGATAATTTGGAAGACTGTCAGAAAATAGCTCTGGATCCGCCCCTGCAAGCCATGTTGCAGGTTTTTTGTGCTGCCATACGATGTTTTTATGTGTGAGGTCATCAAGAGAAGAAAGCCTGCATAACTGCTAATTGAATAGAAACTGAACATTGACTGTTTGGTCATTTTGATATATGCAAACTTGTTTCAAAAGTTCAGTAAAAAAGAAAGATGAATTATGTTTTCTGCACTGTGGAACTACATGTGTTTACCTTGTATGTGTCAGTCAACAACAAGACAGGTGGTCCCATGAATCCGTCCTTGCTTAACAGTTGTTGCAAAGAAGTTGTTGGCTAAATTTTTGTGTATCAGAATGAGAAAAATCTTGTTTATGATATCACTAGTAATGAAAAAGACATTGGAAAACAAAGGGAAATCATATTTAGCAACGAATAAATAACTTCTGAAAGAGTTGAAGTAATTACTTTTTCCAAAGTTGATTGGGGCACTTTAGTGGATGATTTAATATTTCATGGTTGTTCTTAATTTAACAGTTATGCAAGTTTGACAAATGAACAGAGAATTCAACTGGCAGTTGTCAGTCTCCATACTTGATAATCTAAACTAAATACGCAGTTAGATTAAATGTGTTATTGGAAGAGACGAATGCCTCATTTAGTAATTACCACAGTAATGGGCAAGAATTGCAGTGAATGGGCACTGTAATTGTTCCTGTTACGTTTCTGTAATTGTAATAATTGGACCAATATTCTAGAAGTTGTGGGCCTGATTTCCCAAAAGAATTTATGCTGAAAGTTTATCTTTACTTCAAGACTGAAATTTATATTTACAAGTACTTCAGTTTACAATGATTTAGTAGTAATCCACCATGCCTAATGGTGCCTGGATTCTCCAACTGAATGTATTTGGTTTTACAGTCAAATTCTTATGGTCATCATGGGGCTGAATTTATGGCTCCATAGCTAAATTTGTATGATCCTAGAGCTGAATGAATTTGGTCCAAGAGCTGAAATTTATTAGGTCCTTGAAGTGACTTTATTCTATGTTAGAGCTAAGTTAATTTTGTCCAAGTGCTGAATTTATTTGGCTTTACAGTGAAATAGAGATTTAAAGCTCAATTTACATTCCTTATTTCTATGGCATTTCTTCTCAACACTGCCTTTCAGCCGTTTTCTTTTTCTTCTCTCTCCAGGACCGCGAGTTCACAGATATGGACGTGAACTATAATGGTCAGCCCACCAAGCTCCTAGGCACCCCTCCTCTCACCCCCACCATGTCTGTCCGTTCCAGGGACAATAAAAACAGAACCACCGGTTGCTGCGCCAGGAAATCTTCTAGAAAAGTAAGTCTCTGTGTGGGGTACTACTAAGTACCGTCTGTGCTGCAATGAAGGGAATTTTAAATATATTTGATTTATATACACTGTGTAAAGATTTGAGTACAAAATGGGTATTGTTGATCATGTTTTTCTTTTTACATATAGATATCATGGTTTGTCATAAAGAAATACAAGTTAGTTTCTAAAAAGGACAATGTACATGTAGGAAAAAAGCTTGGTAAATGTCCATGGTGGCCTTAAAAATAACCAACTATCACTATATTGCTAAACACACACACACACACACACACACACACACACACACACGTCTGTCTTCGTCTGGATGGGTGAAGAATCGCATAGTTTTTCATCATAGGGTACTGATTTCGGTAGTAAAAAAAAAAAGGATACGCCATGCTTTAAACAATAGCTCATTCCTTAAGAGTATATAGGAAGATGCAAAACAGTGGCATGTATGTATTTAGTGTCCATCTAGACAAAAGTAAATAAGTAATTTTTCCACAAACTTTATTACCCAGTTGTATTTTGAGAACAGCTGAATTTTTGGCAGTATTTTGTCTCAATTGATATTGGTTGTTGGATTATAAATATCCCCATCTTTCTACAGAGACAGCAAACTAAACAGAAAGTAGTTCATGGTGGAACTTACTTCATTTGGGGTAAAGGCTCTTTGGAAACTAATTCATAGTTGCTATGGCAACAGCAGTCCCCCACCAAAAGATAAGCTAAATTTACTTAATTATCTAACTGTAGATGGGGGATAAATTAGACTGTCTGTGAATTTAAAAAAGTCTTTAAAAAGGTGAACATTTTGTGGGAGCATATAATAATATCTTGTTCTACATTGTAACAAAAACAGATGCAATGAGTTAAATTGCTCTGCAAATTTATATTAAAAAAAAGAAAAATCTTGGAATGCAACTCATATGGGCTGTTTAAGATTACAGGAGGTTAGTCAAGCTCAAAAAGAGGTAATTTAAAAGCCAAATACTAGAAAACTCACTGCAAGTAAAAAAAAGATCTGCTATTGTTTTGGGAGTTAGTGGGAAGTATGAAGAGCATTTAGAAGAAGAGTATGATTGAGCCAAATGGTACCTGGATCAATTATTTGAAACACTTTGGGTGAAGTCTGTCTCTCTTCCTCCCAGTGATAAAAATTTTGGAACAATTTAAAGAGCGAGAAAGAAAAAAATTGATCTGCGAACAATAATGGAATTATGGTGGCTATTAGTTTTTTTTAAAAGTACTATTGTGGCAAGGGTGCCAATCCAAATGAAATGTAAAGGGCATACAGCCGCACTGTGAATAATGAATTCCCAGACAAAGATGGTTAGCACAATAATGGTAAGCAGTAACATACCCACTCTGGAATAAAGACATACCAAGGCCATTATCTGCTACAGAAAATTGTCTTTTTCCTGAAACTCTAGATGGAATATGCATCTTCACCTGTCTTGGGAATCTTTTTGTCTCAGTTCTGAATTATAAACTGTGCTCCTGGAATAAATGCAATGGTTCAGTGCCCATTAAGCTAAATTTTGGTCAGTTTTTGTCGAAATGTTGACAAAATACGTAAAATGATTGTACCTGATGACTTAATAGATTACTACATAATGCTTATTTAGTATTACAAATACATGTAATGATTTTCTGTACTTATATAATGCCATTGACTGGTTCATTTGAGATGCCCCCCTTTGTTTATTAAATTGATACATTTTTTATTATTAATATGGTATTTGTTTTCTTATTTGACACCAAGGATATGTCTGTAGCTAGGCGTGTTGTATTGTGAAATTTACAGAGGGAAGAGAAGAATTGATTCCATGAACATGTAGATAAAAGTACATACACAATATATATATATATATATGTACATAGATGCATGTACATGCAGATCATGCATATTCATTACATATATGTACAGATACATAAAGATACATAAAGATATTTAAAACGTGGGGTCACATGATGGAGTCAGCAAAGTTTTGCGGTGTTTTGCTTCTTTGTACTATAGTAGCTTAATGAAACTTCCTAGCTACGTACAGAGATTAATCAAAAAGATGAGAATTACTATAATAAATCTGAATGAAAAGAAAACTCAGTACCTTGAATAGAACATTCAAGTTAGCAGTTTTTTATCCCAAAAAATTATTTATTTGGCTTGTCTAAAATACTGTATAATGGCACTTTATTTGATTTGTACATGTAATAGTTTGTAAACATTGCTAAATAATTTTGATAGCTTTTTATTAATTAGTTATATTGTGAAGTATGGCTTTCTCATTTGTCATTTTCCTTTTCCTGTCAAACTCGGCCATATTGTCAATACAGCCATTTCCACAGACCCTCTGGCACTGTAGAGACACCGTTTTTCTTGTTTTCTTTTGTTTTATCTATTTTTAGACACGGGAGTCCCTGGAAACAGAAGACCTTAATGATATTAATGTAACCCAGTGATCTTAATTCAAGTTTTTGGCACATGTAAGGGTCTTGGCACCTCCAGACAGACTAGCAGACAGTGGTTTATTTTGTGGTCTTTCACCTCCTCTTCCTCTTCCTCACCAGTCTTGGGGCCATTTTCACCAAAAATAATAATAATAAAAAAAATTAAGACAGAAAGTTGGTCCAGACTTTTTGACTGAAAATGTATGTCTACTTCAAGGCAGAAGAGATCTGTAGCTGTCTACTTGGTGAAACTAAATGTTAGTCTGAGTAAGGACAGACATTTCTTTCTCTTTATACTTAATTATTAAGATAAGACTATTTCATTTGTGCAGTCTAGTATTGATTTTTGTTCAGTCAAAGTAGACTAAATATTTTAGTTAAGACCAACTTTCTCTTCTTAAACAAGTGCCTGTAGCCTACATAGACTAACATTATTCCTTAGACATGCAACCAGCACAAGGTGTGATTTCCTAGGTCCCCCCCCCCTCCCCCTTTTACTGGATGATTTTTTAAGAGTACAAGGAATACCAGTTTCACTAGTTTTAATGTAAGATGATGCTTTTGAGGTCCCAAAAAGATAATCTTTAATAGTGCCCTTTAAAATGTGAACAACACAGGAAGTGCCTGCGACCACCTATTGCCTGAAAAAAAGAATTGATTTTTTAAATTTAGATGTTATTGACCAAGGGATCCCGGAAAACTGGGAAACCATTTTCTTTGTAATTACAATATTTAATTATAGAGTATTTTAAGGTCCTTTTGCAGTTTCTGAATCTCCCCTGTTACCTAGCCTTTTCCAAGAAATGCACATCTTATCCTAGGAAAGGGAATAAGCTTTAAAACCATCCATTTTGATTTGGCTCAAGTCCCTCTCACAAACTGGTGTGAAGGCGTCTATTATAGTCTGGCTTTGAGAAGCTCGCTAATCCAGACAGTGAGATAATTCGGAGAGAATAGTGCTTTGAAACTATCAGCATAATCGTGCCTGCTCATTATTCTTCAGAAAGAAAAGCACAGTCTTAGACCCGACCCGTGAGCTTTTGTATTTAGATACGGTCTTCTTCCTTTTACTTGATTATGAAAAATGTGCTGCCGAAGATAAAACTCCCAGCGGTGGTTGGTGTGCATATTACTGTATAGAAACGAGCAGGTGCCCTGTCAAATTGTTTCCAAATACGGCCCAGTTTGGTCAATTATATCAATATTGAAAAGAAAGTTGTTCCTCTTGAATGATAGACCTACTTACCAGCGCGGCCCCATGGGGGGGATGGGAGTTGAACATTTGTCAAATAAAAGAAGGGAATTAGGTGGTAATATTATTCCAGGGGTGAGCTCAAATTAACTGCTGTGTAGAGGGAATATATTTGTGCATTCAAATTCTTAAGTTCAGGCTATTCCTCAAAGAATTCCCCAGGGTCTGTTGGCAGTGAAAACAGCACATCACAGCAGCTTAAAGGGTGGGGATTGCCTGTACTGTCCCTGGGGTGCATTCACCTAGTCCCCAGGGGTCTGGCCTGTTAAATTACCAGGTTTTCTGTGCGTGATGATTACTGATTGTAATATTCCGCATGTTGATTAAATGCGTAGTGACAATTATTGTGAATGAAACGGTAGCCTAATAGCATACTCAAAAAGCATCGGTTTTGGTCATTTTGGTTTTGCACTGATCTTAAAAGGTTGGCAGAAAAGATTTAATTAAACAAGAATTGTATTAATTAATTTTTCTTTTCTCAAAGCCCACTGTTTACTTAAAAATTCCTATATGTGATACCCCCACCCCACCCCACCCCACCCCACCCCACCCCTCCCCTTCCAACCTGCACCCCCTCCAGCACAAATGCACCTGTGAGGTCCCCCCCCACCTCTACCCCCACCCCCACCCCTCCTTACCCATTGTCACCCACCCCTGAGGTGTCTTTCTGTCTTTCTCATGGTCTAGTAGTAAGGATCACACGCACCTGCAGAAATGACCCGTTTTCCCTGATTGACTGATGGATAATTGCATGAACCCATAAACATGTTAGAACTGCACTTCTACTAATGTTATTTGTGGGCGAATGCGACTTCCATCACTGTAGGAGAAATGTAGTTGATAACAGCTTGAACTAAACTAGATATTTCTGGAATTGTTTACACTATAGATTCTGAGAGTTACTGTCTACAAGATTTGTGCCATATGTTGATATTCATTGAATTGGTTGATTGAAACTGTTATGAGTCAACATCCAAGATTGATCAGTATTTTTGAAAACTGAATAAGACGAAGTAAACTGTTAAAAATGACATCTGATTATAATGTCTACAAATATAAGGAAAGCATGATTATGGTATACAGTGGAAAATAACTGAAGCTGGGCAAAATCTGGGTTTTTTTTGATGTTGTATATTTTCTTAATACCACCTTCATTGAAATGACAAGTAAGAACATGTATCGATTTCTCATAATGTAATTAAAAAAAAATCATTCACCTTTTTTTTTCTGCCTTTTTCCAGCCACTTAAGAATTCCTCAGACGCAGAGGAATTGAACGACATCAGTATTCGCATCCCCTCCAGTAATCGCAACTCACGGTCCAGTCTAAACGCCATGAGCTACCCGACTAGTTCCAACAGCCGACCCAACAATATACAAACCACAGCCGTAGTGAGCATGCCCAACACGTCGCCTGGCAACATGGGAAACTCCCAGGATTCCCTTCACACGCCCAGCACGGCCAGCACAGTGTCCCCAGCAGGGGGCGTGGTGAGAATCTCCACCTTATAGCACAGAGGGTGTTGTGAGGACGGTGGGGCCCCCCTCCCCTGGGGGGTCTCACCCAGGGGGTCTCGGCAGGTCCTGCTAGGGTCTGTGGCGTAATGGGTACGTGGCTGTCAAGGTGCAACAGGTGACATGCCGCTACGGGGACACTCACACATTTACCTTCACTTACGGAATTATGAATAGTATCGTTATATAGATATATAACATATTGCTTATCATGCATAGATATGTATTTTACATGTATTTGTGTGTGACAAACAATTCATATGGTGATGGTATAGGAGTCTTAATGTTTTGATTAGTCATGAAGTCGAATTTCAAACAGCCATTATGGTTGTTAGTATAGCTAATGTAGACTTTATTTAAGAAAAAAAAAACTGTTACTGTATATAGTCTGTGGTCAGTCCTTTAGCACATAGTTCACATCTTTTATTACATTTGTACACTTCAATTCATGACATTAACGCATTTAGTTTATCTTTTAATGCTAAGAAGTGTCTGCGTAAATGTACTGAAGTAGCCAGGCGTTGCTAGAGGATAAAGTGTAGGACTATCTCTCTTTTGAGGCAGTAGTGCTTTGAATTCTAGTGCTCAGTGAGCACACAATGTGATGTGACTGTTGTAAAACGGACTGCGATTGGCTCTCGCAAACCATGTGACCAGCTGTCACAGACAGGGGTTGCCATGGTTGCCATTTATCTCTATTTTTAGTTAGCACTTATGTATAGGAAATTTTGGAAGAAATTGTGAATATGATTGACCTGCTGCATGTGAAATGCTCAGGCAAGTTTTTCCCGTCTAGGGAAAATTTTTAAAAACAGTACTTATTAGTGTGTTTGGGTGAGTTGGCATACATGTAGAATCTGTTTCCATTTTTAATGTATATACACTGTGTCTGATGGTTGTATTTGATGAACACTCAGTCTGATTTAGAGTAGAGGGAAACGTTTCCATGGATGTTTGAGAAATTGCACCTGGTTCCTAGCAGAAAAAGAAAGATAGAGTAGTAAATTGTGAGAAAAATAGAAAAAAGAGTGACAGTTTCACTGTAGTTGATGTGTCCACCTATTGCTATTATTTCTTCACGCGGGATTGTTATCATTACAAACCATGTAGATCGAAGCGATTGTACACATGATACTAGCCGTAGTAGGGATGTTTATTTTTCTTCTTCATACTCAGTTTAATTTAACAACACCTTGGTTTTTGTTTGCAGTGTTGAAAGTGAAAGAGAGCCCTCTTCACTTCTTGTTTGTTCACTTAGTTGTTATTTGTTACATCTTCCTTTTTGTTAAAATTCCTTGGTTCTTATTTTTATGACAGAAGCCATAAACCACCTCTCTAGGTTCTAGAAAAATCAATTTCTTGTCACGTAACTTAGGTTTTACCTTGAAATGACATCCGCTGTTATTATACAGAACATTTCCACAAACCCACTCCGATACTGATTCAATTAAAGTGGCAGGAGCAAAAGGGTATCATTTCAAAAGGGTGATACCTATCCATTCATCCAGCTTCCATCTTACGTATCTATTTCAAGTACATTATAATCTGTTGATTTTATTTATTATCTGTATCTACAATATGTATTGTTTTAAGCAGTGATGACTTACTTATTTTCTGGACTTCATTCACAAAACAAAGGTCTTTTAAGCAAACCAGTTTACTTCACTTAGTTGGCTTGCAATTATATATTAATTTTTTTTCAATGAACCATTTTCTGCAGTCATTTTCTGCAGGTAGATGTAGAAATTTATTGCTCTTAGAATCCCCGTGTCACTGATCAATATCTATGCTGACGTCACAGATGTTCATCACTTGTTTTCTATGTACAACTGGAAGGCACCGTTAAGCTGTGTATGAATTGCCCGATACCTTGTTATACACCTGATTTTTCACCACTCTGTGTCCTTTTATTTCTGCTCTTTCTTAATTTTAAATGTTCATGCTATCTATTGATATTTAACTTTGTATTTTTACTTCTACTGCCATGTTCTCTAGAGGCTGTTATAAAAATTTTGAAAGAATCTCAATTGTGATTTTAGGCTTCTTGCATAAAATTTATTATATATATTTAATTTATCTTTAAAACATTATAGTTGAATTACAATCATTGTTATAAGGGAAAGATTGAGGGTGAACATGAAGAACAATTACCTCGAAAAGTGAAATGTACTCGTGTGTAGATTTCAGCATAATATATTTCTTACGTACATGTTTTGTCTCCGGCAACTGTGTGCACTTTGACATGTTTGTGCTATCGCACACTTTTTACAGCCTTATATGTATATGATCTTATTCATCTTACAAAATCATAGACAAATAGACATATGTATACAATTTTTAAATTAAATAATGAATGAATAGTGGATTGTGGGAAGGTCATGTGATCACTGTGCGAGTTACGTTGTGTTAAAGAACCACCACAGTTAGAAGCATTCTGGAAGAATTCTCAATCTGGCAAACAATTTCGATTGACATTTATTCATATGGAATGGAATTTTCATGGGTTGTTTACCAATATTTTAAACTTAACACTGGAGATGGGGGGGGGAGGTATGTATTTAATGCAGGTATTTTAACTTATCCTTTCTGATTCTTATAATTTACATATTCTTATCTTAAAGGATGAAGTCATTGAACGTTTTTTAAAGCCGTTGTTTGGTCAGTCTGTTGTGACGATGTGGAAATTATGACCTCAGTGAGCTGAAATTGAAATTTTTAATTAAAATTAAAATTTATTTTATTGTAGTAAAAAGATACATTGTCAAAATTCCAGTGCATTTGTTTTATTCATGTATCATCTTTGTGGCTGCATCCTATCTGAACACCATGTATTTCAACCAGTAAAATGTTAACACTGAAAGCCGGTAATAGAATAAACTTAAGTATTTTCTTCTATTATTTTTTGATGGTCAAAAGTAAAAAAAGAGCTTCCAGGATGCTTCTTGGTGGGTTATATCTGTTGATGGCTCATAAGATAGCCAAAATGTAGTGTTTTCATATATATGTTAACAGTGCATGCATAAGATAATGCATAATACTCAACTATTAGACTATTCTTCACTGTGCCAGCTATACTCCTTATGTTGTTTGATTGGTCCTTTGAATTTCAAAGCCTGTTATTCTTTCATTGGAACTGTTACAAGGCAAAAGCGCTATTTCTAGACTACATTTTTTTTCTTGTGTATTTTCTTTTTTTTTTTGTACCACAGGATTGTAAGCAATACAGAATCAACCAATCTTATCCGGTAAACTGTCAGAAACAGCCGATTCAATAAGAGAAAACCAAATGCAAAGTAAAGTCAATTTGGTCCCAAGGGCGGCATTAGACCTACCTGTAATCAGTCAATACTTCTCAATCTATTAATGGCGGCACTAAATCACTTTTGCTGCATTTATACAAGTCGAGATCTAGAAGGTGCCAGAGACGACTGTACTGCGTCACAGTATTCTTTGATCATTATCAGAAAATACCCTACGTGACATGATGTGTGATAATTTTCACTTTGATATATTCATTAGTAACCAGTATACAAGACATACCTAGTCTCTTTCACTGTGAAATGATAATAACTTTGCTGAACTTCAGAATTAAAGAAACGGCCGCCCGTTGCCCCATCCTTGGCTGACGTGATTTGATGCACAAATACAAAAATAAAAGTTTCACAGTGATGACATAGACTGACAGAGTGTTCACCTGTAGCTTAAACAAATAAGGGTGGGGTGCAGTTATATTTCACACCTGAATAATTAATTCCCAGTGTCATTTGTCTGTCCAGTCACATTCACACTGGAATGATGGTAGGCATTTGTGGTGAATTTTTATGATATCCTACAAGAAACACTTGTTTTTTAATAAGTGCATAAAGGGACTAACTACCAAAATTTATGCCCCAAATTTCAGAGATTGTCCGAGAAACTTGCCCACCTCCCCTTATTTGCTGACAATCTTCGGGTTCATTACACATGGTCTGCGCAGACAAGTACTCAGAACTGTTGACCTCCGCCAAGACGGGGTTCTGTCTTTTTTGGTTTGTTAGTTAATAGCTGAACTGAAAAAAAGTCACAGACAGGTTTTGATAAAATTTTAAGGATAGGTCAGTAATGGGCTGACATTGAATTGTTTAGATTTTGGTGTTGGTCCATTTACTGATAACTGAGGAGAATTGAGCTGCCTTGGTGGAGATCTGCACGTTCTGAGCACCTTGGCGGAGGTCTGCACTCTCTTTGTAGCTTGGCTATGTAATCACTGTTGAATTAATGAGTTTATCTGGGACCACATTTTGGCCGTTATTTTGGTTCAGCTATGAATTGGCCCATACCGGCTGCTGATTGCTAGCATCAATCTAATGTAGTCATTTTCACAGGTGCTTAGATTCTGTGTTTACTGCTGATGCTATGGCAACTGTCATTTGTTTTATTTATTAAGTTTCATTTACTGGAAACAATTGAAGTAGAGGTTGAACCACTGATTTTCTGTGATCCTACCGTTGACTGTGGTATGGGAGTTTTTTCTTTAGAAAAATCTTTTGCATTTTTTGTGTGAAGTGTGAAATAAAGGGGGAAGGTCTTCTGGATCATTTAGGAATATTATAATTTAGGAATATTTACATTATATGGTCTTTTTTTTTAAAAATATTCCATTATAACATTTGTGTTGACTAGTGTTGCTTATAAGAAATGTTGAGGTAACTATCTCTACAACTATGAGATTTTTATGTATAATGTGACATGTATTGTACACTTTAACTGCCAGTATTATCTCACTCTGGGATTTGCACATTTTCTTGGATGTAGATGGGTCAGCAAATGTTATATTTACAAACTTTTTGACAACCTATAAAATTGTCATAAAATGTACTAAGTTTAAATTAACACAATATGGAAATAACTCATTTAAGTGGGACGGTACTTTGGGAAAAACAAGAGTAATGGACCGAAGTTGCCCCTAGAGAGTGCCCCCCCCCCCCCCCCAACACCCCCACCTTACTGTTAGGTTGTGTTTGACAACACGTGTGCAATATATTTACACATATTTAATGGAACTCACCCCTTTTTTATTACTTTTACTATATGAATGGTGAATGTTGCTGATAAACACGAGTATATCATACCACTATTGTACAGAAATAGCAGAGCATCCGAGAATCCTGCATGGTATATGTATATATGAGTTTCAAACCTCGCACTTTTTTGAGATTTTAACTTACATTTAACATAAGTCTATTACAGTAACTGTAACATTATATTATCAGTCCAGGTAGTCTATTTGGCTTAGATGATGAATTCATGCATTTACCATGAGATGTCACCGCTGCATATTAGTCTGTCTTGAGAGTCCAGTTTCCATCTATATTGCTGTGTTGGCAATTCATGTCTTGTTTCAATAAACCATGTTTAAATATACGAAATTACAGTCTTGTTCTTCATCGCCCCCCCCCCCC